CAGCTCAGCCTTGGGGAAGCTATCGGCCCTCACCGCCACCCTGGGCCTAGACCTCCCACTCTCCCACTTTGAAGTCTAGACTAGCCTTCTAAAGAACAGTAAAAACCCAATAGCCCTCCCATCTTCCAGCAAGCACTCGATCTCTTCATCTCAGAGAATATGCTTCATATAAACAGGAACACTAGCTTATTTGCGCTGATGACCTTTTGCAATTTTGCCTCAATGGAGGAAGTCCAATTAAATGGGGCAGCTGGGTGGAGATAATCCTTCTTTGGAATTGCTGGAAAAGTCCCTGGCACTGATCACTCCTCTGACACTTAGTGATGGCATCACATCCTGCAGCCAGGACATCTGAATGGCTTCCGAAAGGAGCAACAGAGGTGCCGAGGACATGATGCCCACTCTGAGCCAGCCAGGAACACTGCCACAAGCGGGGACGAGGCCAGACTCTGGCCTTTGTGGGACCTTCCAAGTATGCAGTGAACTCCTTTGGAATGTCAGCCTACAGCTTGACTGCCCCAAAGAAATCACGGCATGTTTGTTCGACAAAGGGATGATGGATGAAAGGATGATGAACAAAGGGATGACCCAAGAGTCTGATGTTTTTTTGAAGTGGAGTACTGGGAGGGTGGCTGCTGGGACCATTTCTGTTCAACACCCCTCGCTTTTAGGGACTCAGTGCTTATGCATAAGAACGCAGAAGCTGGGTGGAACTTAAGCTTTGGATGTTTTTAAGCTGAATTACAAGTAAATTGATATATTACAACCTATACTATTTAGCAATTTTCTAAAGAGTTGGTTCTTAAACCCTTGTGATTGGGGTCTTGCTTTAGGTTTAAGGTCCTTGGTTTAAGGTCCTTTAGTCTATGCCTGTTGCAATTGTCAGCTGGTTTAAAATTATTCTGACCTCTCTAAAATGAGGTCATCTTGCAGCTTGGCCACTCGAAGAAATGATCATTTATTGGACAATGAAGGTGTGGGTGAAGTAACAGTTGAGGAGTTTGAGGTTTTCTTAAAGTGGAGTCCCACAGGGGTGTCTGCTGGGACCATTCCTATTCATCAGATTTTCATCTTTTATTCAGAGCTCCTGCACAGAGCTTTTGGAAGAAAAGCAGCAAGAAGCGGAAACCAGAACTTGGGGCACATCTCTTATGGCATGGCTGAGCTCAAAACTGAATTGTCTGCTAATGTTATAAAGACCAAATAAAGTTCCTGCATGGCCAGTGATCCACTTCAACGTGATGTTTTTGCCACCTTAGGGTATATACTTGCAATCTAAAGATGTCATCAACTTGTAACCATATTCTCTGAAGACGTCCATCTGGTTAGCATACTGAATGGGCCTGGCCAACTGAGAAAATGGACAGCACTGCTTGTCTTCAGACGACTGCAGCAGAACAGGCAAGGCAGATACCTGCTCTTCTTTACAGAAACGAAACATGGGCACACCACAGATGACACCAAAAGCAACGGCCTTTTCCCAGAAAGCGCCTCGAGCGTATTCTGAAAGTGACCTGTTGCGATGGTGCACAAAGGAGAATCAGCTGCAGGAGATTTAAAGGCACTCCATCACCAACCAGTCACACATGGATGGTAGAAGACCACCTGGCAGGCAAAAAGCGGTATGGTCAGCTACAACTGGGTCACTTCTCTGCAGGAGGGGAGAGTTGGAAGACTCACTGAAGGAAAAGCTTTATGGGGTAAATGCTGTCGACACATATCTGTTACTGTAGACTAATCCACCTGGATCTACATCAACAGATTGCTCTGTCGATGCTCTGTCCAGTTCAGACTTCTAAAAACACAGTGACCAAAGCTTGTAAATAGTTGGCAAAGTCATTGTTTTGAAGGAAATTATCCAGTCTCAACTGAAGCACTTGAAGTAAATGTTTTTGCAGTCTCTGTTTAAGCACGATTTCAAATGTCCACTTTTTTAAATGACCACTACCAGCAAATAGGGCACTATATGACAAAAACAACACAGCTGGTTTGTTTTTATGGCTCACTGTCTAGGTGTACATGTAAATGTGGCCATGTATGGGTGCGTGTGTTGGGCCATGCACTGGCTCAGCAACAGCACTGTCCTAAAGGTGGCAGCAGAATCAAGCAGAGGAAAAGAGGCAGCATGAGAGGAGAAGAGAGAGATGAAAAGAGGGGGGTGAGAGAGTGAAAAGATAAGGTGATGTAATAAGGGGAGGGGGAGCGAGCGTGTGATACAAGGAAATGGCAGGGTGACAGAATGTTCCAGCAGCCCCTGCCGTGAGACACACATACGCATCAAGCCTGTTTTGACAGGAGGGGGTTATGAAAAATATCGTTACGCTACAAATTCCTCCCCACTTGCTCCTCCACCACATGCCACCTGCTAAAGCGGAGGGCTGTAGCACAGAAGCATTATAGCGTCCTCCCTCGTGACCCAATCACACAAACACATTATAATCTTTAATGGTGGCTCTTGCAAAACACAAATCTTCGCTCTGGGAACAAAACCACACATCTTCATAATGGCAACTTTACAGGAGAAGCAAAAAACCTTCTTCAAGTGTACTAGAAGTTAAAGTGACAAGATTTAATTTTGGACCAATTCTATTAGTCCATCCATTGTGAAATTTCATACGTAAATGCCAAAACTGGAGATACAAGGTTTTTGCATGACAGCAACGATATGCACAAACACATTTTGTATTTTCTGTAGTGATGTCAAAGTTAACACCAAGAACACGTTTTCCTACTGTGATCCTTTGAGCCATCTGTAGTTCCAGCCTGAAGCCCAGCTGTTTGTGCATACAGCTTTCATATGAAAGAGCTTCATTGATGGCTCTCATGTTAAAATCAAAGCTACCGCGGTCCGTCATTGAAGGACTTAGAGCCTTAGTAAGCAAAACACAATTTCAGTCAATTTCAGTACAATCAGTAGTACAGTCAATTTCAGTACTATTGGTAATGTTAGCACGGGATGATGCCTTTGGGAGAAGCTGAACAGAGCAACGAATAACTTAACAAGACGTAATGTAAGGGCATGAAAACACAGAGGACTTGAAACATGCAGCCACTGCTACTTTAACTAGACATCAATGATGAAAGCTGAAAATTGCATTCACCCCATTCAGGTTCCAGAGTTTCTCAACCCGTGGGCTGCGGACCACAAGCAGGCCGCAAAGCAACCTTTGGTGGTCCTCGGGCCAACACTGAGGAGGAACAAGCGGCCAGTGATGGTACTTTGTTATAAAAATCAGTGAAAAAGAACTGACTTAAAAATAAGAAAAAAATATAACATGTTCTCAAATGGTAAACAATATTAATACAAATGTAACAACGCTGCACAAAGATGCTTCATCTAGTTTTTGCCCCTTGTCTCTAGAAACAAGAAACACCACCCCAAAGAATCAATCATCCACTCACGAGTGAAAAATTGAACTTAATTTGCCAGCGTTCTGCCTGATTTCAGGTATAAAACAAGCTTACGTTCACCAAACCTGTTGATGTTTAATGTTCAGTGATACACATGGCGTGTTGTGGCACCTGAAAATTGCTGTGTTGAAAGTTTCCCAAAAATGATTTTTTAAAATAGAAATATTTTTGTTTTCTTTTCCTGTGGGGCTTTCTAGTGATAAACAAGTGGACCTTGAGGTGGAAAAGTTTGAGAACCTCTGATTTACATGATGAAAATGGTGTTATTAAATTACTGGAAGTAATAAATACATTCAGATAGAGCTTTATTTGTCCTCTCATACTATAACAGTATGCCCTGCTTTATAAATGGAAAAATCTTTCTTTAGGGTCAAATTTGATCAAAAATGGCAAATGTGAATAACTTACTAATCATAATTAATTATTTTATATTTTTATAAGTGTATAATTGCATAATTTACTCTCATACACTTTAGAACAGCTCACAAATGTTCTCATACACTTTGCTATATTGTTATACTGAACTGAATTGAATTTATTTGAAGTGATTTCACACTTACATGCACACCATCAACCTGAGGAAACTAATCTAAACAAAGCAAACAATAATAGACACATAGAAACCTGTACAACTACCTCTTCAGTTTAGATGATCCTGCAAAAAGAACAAGAATGAAGATATAGAGGGATGGAGAGACAGGGGAGAAAGGGAGAGAGTGAGGTGATGGAGTGATGTAGCTTTTCTCCTGGTGTGCAGCTCCACAACACACCACACTGGAGGGAAATGGAGGGGCGGAAGAGAGAGAGAGAGAGAGAAAGCAAGACCTAATCACTTCTTCACTCATTAAGAAAGCCCACGCCTCCTGAATCATTAATTACACCAGCGAGAGAGAGAGAGAGGAGTAATGGATAAAAACGTGGAGTAAACAGAGGAGGAACAAGAGAAGAGAGAGAGCAGGCGAGGAGGCAGAAGGGAAGAAGGATGGAGTGAGCGGAAACAAAAAAAATGAGCAAGCAAAAAAGAAGAGTGAGGGAAGAGGAGGAAAGAGCATGAGGAAGAAAAAGATGTGCGAGGAGAGGGAAGATACAGCGATGGGAGAAATGAAGAAAGCTGAGAAAAAGAGAAATAGACCAGGAGAGAGAGAGAGAGAGAGAGAGAGAGAGACGCTTAGTCATGCATTTGTCTCTCCTCCACACAAGAACCACACAAATACACTCGCCTCCTTTAAAGGGCCCATATCACGAAAACTTTCCTTATTGTTTCTGTGATGTCACAAACAACACCACCTTTACATATATCCACCTATTTGAGACAGCAGCAGTTTAACCCTGCACAGTATAGGACAGCCAATCAGAAAAGAGCTCATTTACATAGAGCAGTCTTAAAGGCACAGTAACAAATCTAAGAGATATAGAGAGGCTGGAAAATAAGCATGTAAATATCAATTACTTTTATTTGGTACATAAAATAACAAACCAAACTGGACGTTGGGGAAAAATGAAACACAAGAAAATGTAGGATATGGGGACCTTTAAGAGTGTTTGTGTACAGATAAAGACGACACACACACACACACACACACACGTACCTGCTCTTCAGATGCTGAATGCTGCCTAGGCACTTAAACTGACCATTGACCATGATCGCCATACGAGTACACAGGGCCTCACATTCCTCCATACTGTAGAGAGAGAGAGAGAGAGAGAGAGAGAGAGTGAGAGTGAGAGAGAGAGAAAAAGAGAGAGAGAGATCAAAGAGAGAGAAAAACAAAAGGAAGAGAGAGAAAGAAAAGTGAGATGTGAAGAATGAGAGAGAGACAGATTGATAGACAGACAGATTGATAGAGAGACAGATAGACAGATTTGTATGGAGACAGAATGATAGAGACAGATTGATAGACAGAATGATAGAGAAAGATTGATGGAGACAAAATGATAGAGACAGAAGGATAGAGACAGACAGAATGATAGACAGAATGATGGAGAGACAGATTGATAGAGAGAAAGAAAGACAGAGACAGATTGATGGAGAGAGGGACAGAGACAGAATGATAGACAGATTGATAGAGAGAAGGAGAGACAGACAGACAGAATGATAGAGACAGAAAGAAAGAGACAGATTAATGGACAGAAAGAGAGATGGGATGAAAGACAGATTAACAGAGAGAGAGAGAGAAATTAATAGTGAAAGTTAGATTGATGGAGAGAGACAGATTGAAAAAAATGAGAGACACATTCATAGAGAAAGAGAGAGAGAGACAGACAGAATGAGAGAGGGAAAGAGAGAGAGAGAGAGAGAGAGATAAAAGAGAGAGAGATAAAAGAGAGAGAGATAAAAGAGAGAGAGAAACAAAACAAAACAGAGAGACAGATTGATAGACAGATTGATAGAGAGAGACAGATAGACAGATTGATAGACAGATTTGTATAGAGACAGAAGGAGAGAGACAGAGAGACAGAATAAAAGACAGAATGATAGAGAGACAGATTGACAGAGAGAAAGAGAAGTAGAGACAGATTGATGGAGAGAGGGATGGAGACAGAATGACAGAGAGAAAGAAAGAGACAGATTGATGGACAGACAGATTGACAGAGAGAAAGAGAGACAGATTTGTATAGAGACAGAATGATAGAGAGACAGGTAGACAGAATGATAGAGACAGAAAGAAAGAGACAGATTGATGGACAGAAAGAGAGATGGAATAAAATACAGATTAATAGAGAGAGATAGAGAGAGAGAGAGAGAGAGAGAGAGAAATTAATAGTGAAAGTTAGATTGATGCAGAGAGACAGATTGAAAATGAGAGGCACATTCACAAAGACAGAGAGAGAGAGACAGACAGACAGAATGAGACAAGAAAAGAGAGAAAAAGAGAGAGAGAGTGAGAGAGACTTTGATATAAGATAAAAGAACACAACAGACCAAAAACAGCGTCTGAGTGCTGATAATCTAACAGATCAATAACAGCAGGTCCAGCACTCAGTGCTGCTCTATCACTGTGTATGATTCAGAGACGCAGCCGCACACAGTGGATTACTAAAGCATTACTAATGACAGAGCGGGCTGTGCATGGAGAAACTGGTAAATGGAACATTGTTGGGAACACCTGGTGTTGTTATGGGCGATTAGGGTTCTAGGTTGCGTCTGCAGAAGAGATAAAGCGATCACATCAGGACACACACACACACAAACACACACGGGCTGTCTAAGAGCGTGAACTCCGGAAGGCTCAGTTACAGTTAAGGATTAAGGATGAATGTTTTATCACGTGTAGATAGACCGTAATGAGAGGCACCTGTGTGAGGTGTGTGTGCTCATGTGTGTAATGAGAGGCACCTGTGTGAGGTGAGGATGACGGAGCGTCCCTCTTTGATCACACTCAGGATGCAGTCCCACAGGAAACGGCGAGCTTTCGGGTCCATTCCTGTCGTCGGCTCATCCTAAACACACAAACACAAACATGGTCACCCACCGCCGTACCAGGTCCAGCAAAGTGAGCATTTTGTTTTAGAATTTCAGTTTAAAACTAATTTTTAAAATGTACCAAACAACATATTTATGTGTATTGCCTTGATTTTGATTTGTTGCTGCAGCAAAATCTAAACGACAGAGGTTTCCCACTCTATTACTTCTGCTGCGTCCCAAACTGCATACTACCCCACTAAATAGTGTGTAAAAACAATGCAGTACCATCAGAAGTGCACTCATTAGAGCAGTAGAAGTACATGGTTTCAGGCACAGCATTAAATCTGCCACTGTTCAGCAGCTCCAGTTGCATGAACACAGCTTTGCTGCTTATTAGAAAAATATCTAAGTGAACATGTTGTGGTGTGTCTGTATAAAATGAAATTGCTAATGGTATTTCCTGATCAATGAGGTTGATGTTGCTTCTTATTCGCCAGCTTCTTGTTCTACATTTCCAGTCTACCTATGAGGTATAGAATGGAAAAGTCGTTATGTGATGAAAGTCATGTCAATGTTGATCAATCGCTGATGACCTCATGAATAAAACCACAGAAGAAGGGAATGCTTTGCAACGAGCAACACTGAATTCCAACTTTTACAATCTGTGAAGCCAAACTCCACAGTAGAGCGGAATGTGCCCTTTCCAACAAGCCCTGGATTGCACTGCTAATCCTCAAGAAACTTGAAGTGCAGATCCTGGAATCTCACAAATTTGTATCCAATTTGGGCGCACCCTAGGCAGCCTTGCCAAAACACACGTCCGTGGTGGAGATCCGGAAAGTCAAAGAAATTCAGAGTGCCGTGAATAAGAGCAACTGACTTCAAATTTTAAAGGATTGTAGGGCGTATTGCCCCCTCTCCAAAGAGTCTTCAGGAAAACGGCGATGATGACATTCAGTATCTGATCTCTGAAACACTGTAGATCAGCAGAGAAATGGTAGAATAAAGCCAAACTCCACAGGTCAGTAGAGCGTGATGTGTCCTTTCCATCAAGGATCACACTGGAAATCTGGATTGCAGTGTTAGTCTTTATGAAACTGGAGATACAGACTCTGCTATCACCAGGCTCCGCACCTGTTGTTTTCTCTGAGGCGTCCAAGTTGTTAGTCTTAATCACACAATCAGGGACTAGTTGACATCAAGCTTAAAGCGTCATCGCTGAGCAGTAAAGTTGATTAGTTGACTAGTATGTGCAACCCATAACCCATACAGATAGCTATTAAACCACAAAAAGTACAAAGTTACAGGTTTCTGAAGAGAAACTGACACAGGTTTATTGGTTTAAGCAGCCTTCTGTGTTACCGTGTAACTTGCTGTGCTGAAAAGGGTTACTGGAGAAAGGAGAACCCCCTCCATCCCCTCCCCTACACCAATACACACAAATGATATTACTGTTAACCACCGATGGTTATGAGGAGCATTCGGGTGCTAGTACATTGCACATGCAGGCCTACTTATAACCCACTTCTTTCTGTGTTTTTCTTTTGTACATATACAAAAGGAAGTGCACATATGTCCATTAAACACTTAATTTCGGTCTCTCTCTCTCTCTATTGCTTGCTCTCTCTCTCACACACACACACACACACACACACACACACACACACACACACAAACAAACAACCTAAATGAAGGTAAGCCACACTCTGGTTCTTTGATGGCATTTGGAAGCAGGAAGGAAGCATCCAAAACCACTAAAGGGCAAGATTACCCATCAACAACATGTCCTTACCACGTCTCACATCACAGAGTGTGACATTTACAACCAGCCAACACATACACACACACACACACACACACACACACACACACACACACACACACACACGTCCATCCTGAGGCTCTTCTGTCCAGGCATGATTACAGGCAGTGAGTCAGACACAGCCAGACACCCACAGACGCACACACACACATACATTCACACACACAACTCTGTCTGTCGGCCATAGGATTAGCATCACAATGCCCGCGCTCAACCTGTGCTCAGCCCACTTTCAGCCCAACACCGCCGCTGCAGGATAAACCCCGCTCCAGGCCTATGACGCTTTCAGCCTCTAGCTCATAGAAACCAGGCCACAGCACACACACACACACACACACACACACACATACACAAAGTTAGTATTTCTGCCTTTGTGGAGGGTTTCCATAATTAGAACAGGAAACCGAATTACAATAAAAATTAGAGTCAGAATTAGTATTAGCATTAGAATCAGAATCAGCATCACAATTAAAATTAGAATCAGAATTAGAAGCAGAATTAGAATCAGAATCAAACTCAGCGGCAGAATTAGAATAAAAATTATAATCAGAATCAGAATTACAATGAGAAGTAGAATCCGTATTAAAATTAGAATTAAAATTACAATTAGAATGAACATTAGAATGAGCATGAGAATCAAATTCAGTGTCAGAATTAGAATCAGAATACAAATTACAATGCGAACAAGAATTAGAATCAGAATTACAACTAGAATTAGAATCCAAATTAAAACCAGAATCAGAATCACAATTAGAATCTGAATATTTTATTGTTTTAAGCAAGAAGGAAGGGAAAATCTTAATAAAAAGAAATGAAACTAATAAAATAGAATGTAAAAAATTAGTGCATGTACTGAAGATTTTTGCCGTACTTATGGAAAACAGATGTACAGAACACAAAGAACACAGTAAGCCACTCTGCACTCTGTTTCAGTTCATGTGAATGCTGTTGGAACTAGAAGATCTCTCTAGCCTCTTTTTACTTCTCTAACTACAGCTGAATTAAAAATTAATGCCCATGTTTTCCATCATTCATGTAATTCAACATGTGGTCCTCACAAAGAGTTAAATACACACAAGCACACCAACACATTCACACGTCTCTCATTCTCTCTCCCACTTCTTCAGCATTTGGTTTGAGCCAAAGTTTGACTGAACTTTCTTTTTTCTTAATCACAGAGAAAGCAGAAAGTGGCAGACTAAGATCAAACAGCAGCGCTGTCAAACTCCACACACAGCAAACTTAACCCAGCACACTCTCCCACGTCTTCCTCTGAATTAGAGATTGGCCTCCGCTGGAGCCAGGCCATCAAAAGACACGCTTCTAGGACTCTTCGGTGCTTAGTTAGCATGCTTGCTAAGCACGTTCAAACTCATGTTTGTCCATAACTGATCTTTTATGGAAAACAGCAGCGGGCACCGCCAGCGCAATCACGCTCCCTAATCTCATCTTTAATTAGAGTCCAGAGAACGACGGTGGGGACTTATTTGGTAGATTATGTGTCGGGATTACGTTTCCTCAGAGCCGCGCGGGTCCGAATGAGATTTTAATCCCTGCAAACAGAGCGCTGTGTGCTTTAAATTTAAAACACTAGATTGGGTCATATTCAAAATCACATTAAAAAATGTCCCTGACCTCTATTCTTTCTTTTTTGTCGTTCTTCTGCTTAATTCATTCTTAATCCATGGGGAAATTCAAAGTGTAAGTGTGTGTGTGTGCGAGACTGTGAGAGATAAAGAGAGTGAGTTTGGACTGTGTGTGCTGCTTTGAGTTTGAAGGAGGCCAATAATTGCTCCACATCTAGAATATACTCACTCCAGGACAGTACATACTGATCAGGGTCAGACTGGTATATTGCTTAGACAGTAAAATTGGCTGCACTATGTAAGTTTTTTTTTTTGTAAAAATAGTAGCATTACTGAGGCAAGAGGAAAAAACACACTAAAAACATGGGTGTCCCTGAAAAAGACATCATCTCGAAGGCAGCATAAGTTCAGTTCAGCGATAATGGTGCTTTCACAGATGTGCAAGCGACTCACACACGCACCCCCACACCACGACTCAGACCCTGGCTTTGAACTTTACGCTGGTAACAATCTGTATGGTTCTTCTTTGACCTAAAGAACATGATGACGATTATTTCCACAAACAATATGAAAAGTGGACTCGTCAGATCACATTACACATTTCTACTGAGCATCAGTCCCTTTCAGATGAACTCGAGTCCAGAGAAGTCAGCAGCATTTCTGGACATTGTTGACATATGACTCCGCATAGTAATGTCCTAACTTGTATTTGTGGGTGCAGTGATGGACGTTGTTTATTGACTACATTTTTCAAATGCAGTGCTGTCTGAAGGTTTGAAGGTCATGGACATTCAGTTCTGGTTGTCTGCCTTGTCCTTTACGCACAGAGATTTCTCCAGATTCCCTGAATCTTTTGATGATATTATGCACCGTAAAGTGCAAAATACCTTAAATCCTTACAATCCCTGGTTTTGCTGCTGATGCTTTTTTGGCAAAGTAGTGAGCCTTGACCATTCCTTGTTCATAAAGGTCTAAGACTCCCTGGATGCTCCTTTTATATCCAAGCATTACATCATCTTTAAGGATTTTTTTCAAACATTTCACAATGTTCCTAGCTTCAAATTGCCCCTGACCAGTTGAGAGGGAAATGAAAGAACTGGTGATGTTTCCAACAAGCCTATTTGATGTCCAAACCTGCATAAAAATGAATGATATGGAAATCTAGCCAATGTCTCTCTAATGTCTTAAATGTTCTACAATAAAATTGTAGTCATGAATGTGATGGTATTTTGTAGAATGACAATAATTCCAAGTTTAACAAAGTGAGAGTTTTAAGTTTTTTCAAGTTAAGTTTTAAAGTTTTTATACTGATGTTTTTGAATCCTTTAGTCAGTGATCAAATTTATCATCTTAAGGTAACATTTTCATACTGTCCACCAAAACAAGGTACTCATTTTATTTATTAAATAAAATTATTAAAGACTAAAGATTATTATCAGCTGGTCAGCTGAGAGAGAAATGAAAGGACTGGTGGGCGTGTCCTACCAGAAATATGAGAGGCGGGCAGCCAATGAGAGCCATGGCTGTGGACAGCTTGCGTTTGTTCCCTCCACTGTAGGTCCCAGCAGATTTGTTGGAGTATTTCACAAGACCCAGTTTCTGTATGCCCCACTCTGCCACCTGCAGAGAGAGAGAGAGAGAGAGAGAGAGAGAGACACAAAGAAAGTGTCCATGTTCAATAACGATCATTCTCTCTCAGCTTCTGCAATACTGTAAGTAATTAGGGTCAAGCCACTGTAGCCCACTGAGCTCTATAGTACTGAACAAAGAGAGAGAAAAGTGTGGGCTTTCAAAATGGAATGTTTAGTCATTTACTTTAACAACATTAGCATAATTAAAGCATTTTAGTCTGAAGTCCAAGTCATTTAAAAGTATGAAATGTGTTTTCAACTCAAGTCAGAACCATTTCAAAATGAAACATATATAATATTATTTCCCACGTGTTACATACTGTACTATGCAAAAATCTGAAACCACCCTTCATTTTTTAATTTCCAGTCAAAACAGCCATTAAGCACAATTTATTTCTTTTCATTTTTAATTTTTTTTCATGTTGGGAAAATAGCAGAAGACATACCTTTAACAGAAAAGTACACAAAGCTTCAAATTGTTCAGTACTTATTGTGTCCACTGTTTGCACTTATTACAACTTCCATTCTTTTCAGGAGACTCTCTTTGAGTTTTTTAAAGAAATCTGCAGGGATATTTTCCACACCTCCAAAGTCCATCACCTATCTACCTATCTATTTCTCTGTCCATCTGTCCAAAGCAGCAGGCCAACAATCAAATTTACAGTTTTACTCTTACCCAAACGTGGTGAATCAGTCAAAACATGTTTGGTGTCCAAAGTTTGCTTCTTTAGTCTTGGACAGAAGCTACAAGGCTAATGCAGCTCACATGTCATGGAAGAATATACACCCCTTGTTAGTATTCATTTAAAATTCAGTCTTTAAGACAGGTGTAACTGTTGTTTTTAGCTAAGCTGCCTACTTCTGCTTACTTTATGCTAAACAGCAATTTGAGATGGCTTAAAAAGGTTTGAGGCAAGTGTGTTAATTGGTGGAATATACAGTTGTACGCACAAGTTGGACTCCTGGTCAGATTTCAGATTTTGTTGATTTTTGAAAGTGGAAATAAATGAAAACATCTTTAATCAAGCAAGCAAGCAAAGTTTATTTATATAGCGCTTTTTACAACAGGTGTTGTCACAAAGCAGCTTTACAAGGAAATCAGCATTACAGAAAGAAATCCGGGTCCAAGCCCCCATGAGCAAGCCAGAGGCAAGGAAAAACTCCCTAAGAAACAGGAAGAAACCTTGAGAGGAACCAAGACTCAGAAGGGGAACCCATCCTCCTCTGATCGACACCGGATAGTAAAACATTGTTAGTATAAAGTATTATAGTACAAAAAACAGGGAAAACAGGTGGAGCAAATGATTAATTTGATCAGTCTTAAATGTAACAAATTTTAATGCACAATTTCTATTCATCTGCTGAGTTTAACATATTGGGAAAAGTATATATGTAAAAAATAAACTTTTGCACAAGCACCAACAGTAATTGTGCATTAAAATATTCAGAAGTGTGTTCTCTGTAGAGAATGTGTGAACTTATTTCACTTAGAAAATCAGCAAACCAAAATTTAAATTAAGGTGCCCAAACTTTTAGCATTATAGCTCCAGTATGAAGGCAAAAGCAAACATGTCTTAGCTGACCCCCAAATTTAGGATAAGGACAGAAACTGTGAAAATACAGCCTTAAGGGTCAATATGGCAAAAAAAGGATAATCTATCATTTAATCTATATTAGATAATCTATTTCCGTGTTTTACTTGTTTTACATGTTTTACACATTACTTGTTTTAACTGGTAATCAGTAATGTAATCTAAAGTACTGCACACTGTTCTGATCTGCTACTTCTGAATTAGAGCTCATTTCGAGCCTGTGTAGCTTGCGGTGGTTTAAGCTCAAGCGTAGGCGCTGCTTCCTCTCCATGACAGTCAGGTTTATCATCGGTGTGACACATTCAGTCCTTCGTTCAAACCGTTCATTTATCCTTTTTTCATTGCATTGATGGGGAGCCTGCTGTTTGGAGTCTCCTGATGTTCTTCTCTAAAGACATCTCAGTATAATCCCACAAATAATTCTCTTCTTTACTGAAGCCGTCTGTAATCTCATTAGTACGGAAATGGATTAGTTTTGTATTTGCTGTACACAACACAGGGCCATGCATTCCCTCTATACTGTATCCATATCACATCTGTGTGTGTGTATGTAGAGTATATATGTATTCATGCAGAAGATTGATCTTGACGTGTGGATTAGGTTTGAGATTACGCTCCGAAAATTCTTATGCCATATATGTGTGTGTATGTGTGTGTGTATATATATATATATATATATATATATATATATATATATATATGTATACTTAAAGTACAGTGCAAAAGTCAGTGACCACTCTGCATTTGTTTAATTTATAGTCAAAACAGCCATTAAGTACAAGTTATTAATTCAGAATGGACTGCTTAGAAATAAAAAAAACACTTGTATAAGGAAGAAATAAGTCAAAGGACAGTTGGGAAAACTGAAAACTGGAGTGATGATTTAAATATATAGACAAATTGGGACAACACCCTGTAAGACCTAGCAGACCACAGCCATCACTGAGAAAAGGAAACAGACAGGAAAGAACATTTGACAATCAAACAAAGAAGCTGCTGGTGCATCACTGAATGTGTTTTGGATTATTTGGATTATGAGAAGCTGAAAATCCAAACAACTTCTAAGACTGAACTTTGAATATCCCTGCACATTTCTCTGAAAAACTGAAAGCGAGTTTCCTGTAAAGGTTGAGAGCTGTAATAAAGGCAAACAGTGGACACATTAAATACTGACACATTTGAAATTATATTTAGTTGTTTTGTGTCCTTTTTTGTTACATTTTTGTCACATTTTCTGCTATTTTTCCTAACATGAAAAAATGAATAGCTTGTACTTAACAGCGGTTTTGACTGTAAATAAATAAAGCTTGGTCTCAGATTTTTTCACAGTGGTATAAATACAGCATATATGGGACATATTATTATTTGATACTGACAATTTCAGCTTATTTTGAGCAGAACTCAAAAAGCTAGCCAGTACAGGAAACACACTAGGAAACACAGCAGTTACACACACAAAACTGTTCCTAATTGCAGAAAAGTGTGTTTTTTGTTAGTGATAATTCTTAATGATACAGAATGATTTTCAAACTTTGGGACACATTCACTCCAAAGCAGGGATCTAACTGCTCACCGTGTGGCCATAAGGTAGATGGATGCAGTCTCACTTCCTGCTCTAAAATGCAGAGGTGTGGCTACAATAAGGCTTCACCTGTGAACTAAAACTCTTTGTGTTTCGGTAGTGGCATAAAAACGTGTGACAGTTTTCTTTTTATTTAAAAACTAGGCCCATGATAAATCTAATTCTTTTAAAAGGATCTTAAAAAAAATATTAAACCCCAAAACTTTAAGTATTATTTTCCTAAATTAAAACTTAAGGGTTTGGGACAGCCACCTATATGGGACACCAATACAAAACTACCCTATACAAATTATTTTGTATTTTCTTTAAGCTTATTACTATCTCAAATAATGATTAGGGTGGAAGTAGATCATGACATTATTACTGTAAATATATAATGTCTGATTACTTTTTTTTACTGTAGGCCTGCAGTTTGAACTAATTAGGTGTAATATATATCAGTATGTGCACATTTAATACATATTATTACATATAGGTATTTATTTATTATTGATGTCATGACAAAACCATCTTCAAAATGGTAACAAAAGTAGGAAAAAACATTCTTAACTTGGAATGTAATTAAATGGAACAAGATTTTTATCTATATATATCTATCTATATATATATCTATATATTCTATATATTTCTCTCTCTCTCTCTCTCTCTATACATATATATATATATATATATATATATATATATATATATATATATATATATATATACACACATATATATACACATTTCATATGGGGCATGTTATTATTACACATAGGTACCTACATGTATGTAATACATATGTATATTATTCTTAGATACCAATGCTGACATATATTTGTAATACTTGCGGGACATATTAGTATTAGTCCATGTCCCAACTCTGTGTATAAAACAAACCACTGTGTGTGTGTGTGCTGTCACAGGGCAGCAGAGGCTTTAGTTTAGTGAAGCTGCTGGCGGAGTTGTTGGAGCGGAGGCAGGGTGGCACCAGAAGAGACAAACATACAAAAGGCCACTCCTGTGTGTGAGTGTGTGTGAGAGAAAGAGAAAGACAGAGTGTGTGTATGGGCCTGTGTGTGTGTGCGTCAACGGGCGCTCTGCCCAGGCAAGACTGGCCACGGGATCAAAGGCTGGTGTACTGAGAGCACAGGCACACACACACACACACTTTCATCTCATTCTTTCTTCTGTAGGACGGACCACTGCTCACACACACACACACACACACACACACACAGTTCAGCGTGAAAGATTCAGCAGAACGCTGAGCTTCATCCACACACTCATACATTAAATATGAGCGCACACGCACACTCGCCCACACACACACACCTGTGGAAAGGTGGACACAGAGAGAGTAAAAGACTCAGATTTGGTTACCGTGGTGACCTCCCGCTCTGGAACCCCCCTCAGTCGGGCATAAAATTCCAAATGCTCTCGTCCGGTCAGCAGGTCGTCTATGGCGTCAAACTGAGGACAGTAACCCATATTCTGATGAACCTGCCTCATCTCTGTACGGATACTACAGAGAGAGAGAGAGAGAGAGAGAGAGAGAGAGAGAGAGAGAGAGGGAGAGAGAGAGAGAATTAATGTGGTCATCATTACTATTATTCTTATTAAATCAACACAAACTTTATTATGCCTTCTATTTTCCTCTTGGTTTGTCCATCTAGTCCATTCTTTTACATCTGTTCATGCTTTCCATTGTTTTTATAACTTTCATTCCATCTATCTATCTATCTATCTATCTATCTTCTATATTCATCTAGTTCCTTTCATTCACCAATTCTATTACATGCATCTACCTCTTTTGCTCAATTACTAATATTCTATCCATTCTATTTCATCCATATATTCAATTTCATCCATCTTCCACCATCCATCCATCCATCAATCCATCCTATTCACCTATATCCATTCTATTCCAAGCATCCACTCTCCCAACAATCCATACTGCCATCTTATTTCATCCAGTCCAGTCATCCAGCATTCTCTTCCTTCCATTCATCCAACCACTTTCAGAGAACTTGTGAGAGTAACAAGCACAGTGCGTTTGCATGCAATTAATAATCTAATAAATCAGAATCAGATTTTGTCAGTAACACAATCGATGAGTTAATTTCCACTTGAGTAATCAGATAACAGGAAACTACGAATTTACATGAGTCAGGTAGTAATCAGATTTTAGCTTTGCAACCAGCCAATAAACTCACAGAAGAAGACATGACGCAAACCTAATGTAAAACTCAAACTTCATCACGCGCCTTTTTTTAAAAAAACATTGAGTCGCTTCAAAAGTGCTTTGCTGCCATCTCACAGCAATGCTGCTTGCATTGTCGCACATGCGCAGACTGAGAAATCTAAAAGAAATCTGAGTAAGAGTTTACATATGCTGAGAAATCTGATTACTGAGCTAAAATCCAGCTCTCTTTTTTGGATTTCTTAATCGCATTTCTGGATTGGAATATACTGTTAACATGACTATTTGAATAATCAGATCACTGCAGAAATCCGATTATGATCATATTATTGAGCAAATGTAAATGCACTCACTGATATTAAGGACTGTTCTTATGAAGCATCAAATATGACTTTTAATAGCACTTTGTATTTGAGAATTTTTAGCCTGCTGAAAAAAAAGTCCAAAAAGCTCTCTCCTGTCTGAGCTGTGTAGCATTGCGTGTGTGTGGTGTTAATTCCCCTTTAGATCACAGCTCACACACATACCCCAACCCACCAACCCCCACCCTGCCTCACACAGTGCTGCTCACAGCCAGTGACAGGAGCTCCGTCTCCGGCGACGACTTCATAGCCTATTCAAAACTCTCACACACAGCTGGATCAGGTTTATGCCACATTGTGGTGACCAAACCCTGTTAGTACACTCATGCTGTAGGGATCTTGTGGGGACTAACTTGTAAATAATTAAATTTCAAGACATGTTTTAAGGTTAGGGTGATGTTAAGGTTAGGGTTAGGCTAGTAGCAACTATGGCTAAGGTTTGGTTAAGTCTCTCGGACATTAATGAAATTCTGTGTGATGTCCCCTCAATTCCCAACGCTTCTTCACATTAACTGAACCTTCAAGCAGACACAGTGAGGCAAAACAGGGTCTGTTTTGTGTGAGTAAATTCATCATCAAGCACTGAAACTGGGAAAATAAACTCTTCTGCAAACAGACTGTCTCAGACTATAAATGAATCTTGCAGTACAAATGCAATTTTGTTAGCACTGAGATAAAAAATGACACATAATGCTTCTAAAAATATTCATCTCTATAAACATTATAAACTGTCATTTTAAGTGTGAAAAAACAGAAGCAGCACGTAAAATCTTTGTATTTTAATGTTCATTCTGTTAACTCTGATGAAAAGATAATTAACTTTCTCCACAATCATTCAGTTTTCCACAAGGGAGCGCTATTATGCAAAGTTTTTTTAGCACCATTGCATGCAAGGAAAGACACACCAACAGTGATGCATGTATGGTTGGAGTCATAATCTATCTGTTCTACATTAAAATAAGTTAAGACATATATAGTCAGACATAAATATGACATTTTTCTGCAATTTTTAGGTACAACTTCAATTTATTGAGTTGCAACAACAACAATGAAACAATATCAACAAAACATCATTTGACCGGGGCACCGTAACTTCTGCATGTGACTGCATATATGTTACAGCCCCAAACTCAGCAACTTCTGGCCATTTTGTAAATTTACACACAGTCTACTGTTTGTAGTACATGATGGACGACAATTACCGTAACCTCTAGCACTGTTACAGTAGCTCACGAGTAACTGACTGTGAATAACTGCCTATAACGTCCACGAGCACCTATACTCACCAAAATACCTGAATGCACATCTATTGCACGTGTGATTGTGATCTTTTCTGTGTTCACATAGGATTCATCCCTCCTAGCAACAACAAATGCAACAATCTCAAATGAAGCAATACTGTGTCACCGCACAGCACTGCACACACACACAGCCCCAGGTTCAAAACAATAGCTGTGCGGCTGTTTCGAGTGAGTAAAGACATCATCCAGCAGTGAGGCTGGGAAATAAACTCTTATTCAAAGAGACTCTGTCTCTCCTTTCAGACAGCCACTCAACTCAACCGACCTTAGAAATACAGACACGGGAGGGGAACGAGTGCAGAAGAAACACAAAAGATAGACAGTGAGTGGAGAGGAAGGATGGAGAGATTTAGTTTTCATCTCTGCTGCCGTGGGGGGTTTCGAATTCCAGCAGTGATCACCTTAGCCTGACCACACACACACAAACACACTCTCCATACATCAACAGAGGAAGAGAGAGAGACAGAGGGATAGTTGGTATGATTATTTATTTGTGTGAATGTTTGACTTAATTTTGCACCAAAAGTTAGGGATCATATAAGGGATTTCAGAATAATAATTTATTATTTATTTCAAAATTAAATGAAAGATTGAAAAACGTGTTGATATTTGCTTAAAAATTTTGTAGAATGATATGCATTTATCTTTAAACTGAAGTTTGTCGTTAAAAACAGAAACATGTCATTACAAATTTTGTTGTCTGCATCGCAATTTGAGTGAAACGTTTATTTCAGTTTTAGTATTTGGTGTTTTTGCTTTATACCAATATGCACTTGAGCCAGACATAAGCTTCAATGCAAGCGTAACAATGGACACAATTAATCTAAAAATCTCTGATCTTTTAAGGCCTTAAGATAGTCAATGTAACAACATGCTTAAGTTTGTATAGAGATCTAGAAACGGTGCAGAATTGAATATTTCCTCTTCATCTTGCTTGTCAGAACTTTTTTGCTGTTTTTTTTTCCAAGTCTAAATGAAATAAAAATTCCAGATTTTCAGCGTAGTCCCAGATGTGTCGTGTAATAACATTTAATCCAAGTAATTTTGGAGCTTTTCTATTTTTACCTAGCCTGAGCTTTAAAGTGAGGCTGAAGTTTTCATATAAACTTTGAATGGTGGTGAAATGAAGAACGAGAACAAAATCAAACATAATCTTCTGCAAGATACTCGCTCCATTTGATAGGCTTTTATAGTCGATTCTCATTTTTGCGATTTCTCCTCTCCTTTTGAATTGAAAATCTGCTCTTTGCCCCTGCAATATTTATTTCGCTTCTAAGCTTTGCTCGTTTCTGGGAGCGTCTTACACTAAAAAAGGTCTCACAATGAAAAAAAATGATTCAAACATTTACATAATTTCCACATGAATAAATACACTACATCAGTACAATTATTACCAAAAGTAAGCCAAAAGAAAACATTATGTAGTTGTTCATATGTAAATGATGTACATATCTGAATCAAGAAAATTCAATGCTGCACTTTTTTCAGTGTAGAAGGAGGCGCTGACTCTAAATGACTTTCTAAGTGATTTTGAAGCGATGGGTCTTCTGACCCTTAGTCACACCCCCTCAATGAACCATAGAAGGTCACCAACATGGTAAATGAGCTTAGCAGCTGTGTGTATGCGCACCTGTATCCATTGAGGAAAGCCTCTCCTCCCGAGGCTGGGATATCTCCGGTCAGCATTTTAAATGTGGTGGTTTTACCAGCTCCGTTTATACCTAACAGGCCAAAACACTAACACACACACACACACACACACACACACACACACACACACACGGTAAACAATGCATTTTCATTTAAGACACTCTGACTGTTTATACCTGGTCGTCTCATGAGTCTAGGGCATCAGGATTATATCTAGATTATGCAAGTCTCCTTTAATAACGTTAAAATATATTTGGAGTGAAATATGTACGATTACAAGACTAGAGGAAACTAGATATATTTGTAGGTGATTGTTTTTATTATTTTTAAATGCTATTTTTATTCTGGCAGTTGTAGAAAATATTGTGATAAGAAGAAAGCTGCAGTTGTGCCTGTTGTATCTTGGCACGGCCATCTTTGTGGAGAGGTGTGACTTGTTTTCATAGCAGGGGAAACAAAGAAACAAGAGTGTCATAGTTCATTTAATAACAGAGTTTAAGTGATTACAATAACAAGTAATTAAAAATAGCTTAGTATATCCATTCCGTTTGTGGAATGGCCACTAGGGGGCGAGCAGAAAAGAGGTTAAGGAAATCTACAACACCATGAGAAACTACAATTTCCAATGTGGCAACCATATTTTATACAGAATGTGAATGACTGACACAGGAGACAACACAGCCTGTCATGTCAGGAGCCGATATGTACGTTATAAGCTGCATAGGAATCTAACTGCATTTGTCTATCCAATGTAAATGTATGTGGTTAAAATTCCGCATGAAACGACCAGGTGTAAATGAGTATCTGAAACTCTGCTACTGGACTTATTATCACAATTAGAGCATATTTTTGTATTAACTTAGTGTCTCACTGACCTCAGCAGCAGGTACACCCACGCAGATCCTGTCCACAGCTGGAACCTTCTTACCAGAGTACACCTACAGAAAGAGAGAGAAGGAGTGAGAGAGAGAGAGGGAGAGATAGAGAATTTCCAAGTGCTTAGCAACAGTATTTTTTATGGAGAAAACAGCAAGGCAAGCTCCCACAGCATGATGTGAAAGTTAAAGCAGACCACTGGGGCTCAAAAGTCTTCCATCTCAATAAGTAAGACAATGTCAGATAATCAAATCCAGAAGGCATCCATGAGCCTCTGGACTGGAGGTAATCGTTCTGGATTTAGGCTTTCAGGCCTCGTGGATATTATGCTGAACGCTATGTTGACCTTTCGTTATTAGGTTTAGCAAATCATGTGATCAACATTTTGGTGCTCTGACATCATCGTGCCTTTGTAATATTCACATACATCATTATGATAGGGTTATTATGGCACAATAAGTCTGGAGCATATACACTGCATAACATACACTGTAACGTAATACACGTTTGGGTCCACCAGAGGGTGCTGATGTATTCTCAGATGTTTTCCAGCAACATTTGTTAGTTTCTGTCTTTCTAGGGAGTCGAGGCTACAACAAAATCCACTAATGCAGGACATATGTGTCCACAAGAGGGTGCTGCCTTATTCCAGCACATTTCTGTTTCTTTTTTTTCGTTTTCTGTCCTTCCAGGGAGTGAAGACTATGTAGAAATTCACAGTAATATTGTACACATTTGGGTCCACGAGATGGCACTGACCTATTCTCTCAAACTTTCCAGCAACTTTCCATTTCTTTCTTTCTGTCTTTTTCTATCCTTCCAGGGAGTCAAGCCTATAACAAGATCCACCGAAATGCAGTACATGTTTAGGTCCACCTGGGTGCCAGCCAGTGCTGGAGTGGGTAGTAAGGAGAGTCAGAAAAGTTCAACAAGTAAAAGAATGCTCAGACACCTCTAGCGGGGCAGCCCCAGTTTGCTGATTGTAACTGAGTCTCATGCAGTGGACACAGCTTCGATAAAGCTGAAAGTAACCTTTTATTCTCATTGTCCGTTCCACCCTAAATGATGTAGTAGTTACATTCAGACGGCTGTACAGCACTGGTGTTTAACTGCAGAACTATTTAAGGTGGAACGGAAACCAAACTACAGCGTTTGTTACTTATTTTGCAATTTTTTATTATACGTCAATCGTGAAGATGGACAGCAAGAACTCCTAATAAAACAAGGTGGCACCGAGAACACAACAATGAAAAAGCTATCTGAAGACATATCCAAGCAGGGGGGAGTGAGTAATGTTGTCAGGACCTTAATTTACTAGGATAGCATTTGTTTGTAGCATATTGACTGTCATGATTGTCACATTTAAGATACATTTTTTCGCCAGTTTTCATGTTATCACTAGCTAGCCACCTTAATTATCTCAGCGTAGAATATAAATAATAAATAAGAGATATGAGTAAGAAATTAAGCAGATAAAGATGCACAGATTTCAGAAAAAGTTCTTTTGCATGAAGCCAATGGTGAATGTCTGTGTGTGTGTGTGTGTGCGTGTGTCTAGAGTTTGGGGTGGGCTGGTCTGCATCATGTAACTCCTAGTCTAAAAACAAGTCCCAAAGTATTCTCTGAAATTTCTCAGTAACTTTCCATTGCTTTCTTTCCGTCTCTTTCTCTCTTTTCATCCTTCTAGGGAGTCGAGCCTGCAACAACATCCACAGTAACATATTACGCATTTGGATCCATAAGGGGGCGCTAATGTATTCCCAGAATTTTTCCAGCAATATTCTACCTCTTCCTGTCCTTCCAGGGAGTAAAGGCTATGAAGAAATCTACTGTAATGTAATGCATGTTTGGGTCCACCAGAGGGCACATGTCCAATGCTCCAAACTTTCCAGCAACTTTCTATTTCTTTCTTTCTCTTTTTCTATCTTTTTCTCTCTTCCAATTCCTCACAGAGGGTAGCCTCGGGAGAGCCAGCAAACAGCCAAAGGTTTGAATCCTAATGTTGGCTCTCAACTACAACTCCCCGCAGGTTTTTTGAATTTTTTGTTTCAAACAGACTTTTGCAATTTCTCCACTGTACCCCAACACACCTGAACTTATATTAAGCCCTGGAGTGAAGAAAGCAAACGAGCAGAGACAGAAGATGATTGGGAGGAGGGAAGGATGAGTTGAGGGACAGAAGAATTGAGAGGCTCATATCACAGAAAACTGAATTCTCCTTGCTTTTTTAAATAAGGTTTGATATATATGGAAACTAAGTTGTTGACTTCATCAGGGTTGCAATGTCGACATTCCTGAGGATTTGATTTCAAACTGAACAGTCCTGTGCATTTCAGTCTGACTGCTTTTTGAACAAGGCTCAATCAGAACAGAGCTCTTACTGTTCATTAATGGAAAGCATGCAGTGAAAACAGACCAGTTTATCACGGTTTGACGTCATAAACATGAACCTGAACCTGAACCACCCCAGCCTACAGCAGCTCAGTCTTGCCCATTCCAAATAAAGTGATGTGAAGTGTTGTTCCTGTAGACAGCTTGTATTGAAGTTAACGATGTAAAATATTAAACACAGTTCTGTTCTGCAGAGAAGCAAACGGATCTTTACAGCCTTCCATAGAATCCACACATCCAAAAGGAGTGACTGAAGTTTATTTTTTATGATGTTTCTGAGGATTTCACTACATGTCACTGCTTTTAGAAATAGGCACAAATCAGAACAGAGGTCATTTACATATATCACTATTAAAGATGCATACTGGCTTAAAAATAGAGTTTAATAATTGAATGCTATTTGTTATTATGAAGTATTCTATATTAGGACTTCAGCGATAGGGCATAATCGGACATCATCAACAATGGACAAGTAACCCAATGGGGATGCAAAAAAGGTGATGACTGCTTTTTTGTGAATAGATCAGAGAGATTAGTTAAGGAGCTGTTCGTTAGTTCTCTCTGCTAGGCACTGTAATGCTAACTTTACAGCATTGCTCTTCGCCTTTTACTTATTTCACGTCATGTTATGTACATTAAGTTTACTATGAGCGATTGAAATGGAAATTAAATGCTGATGTGCTTCGGAACTTCAGCTTGCCTCAAAGTGACTTACTGCAGCTAAAAAAATGAGTTAAAATGACCAGGCATTACCCCAGAGAAGCTCTAACCTGGAGAAAAAGTTTTTTTGAACCCTGCCTATGGCTGGTGTGTTCAAAAAAAGTTAATAAATAAAATTAAATAATATGGACACATAATGCTGTATTTACTTTTACAGTTAAAACACTGAGGTATGATGGGGCCCTTAAAAATCCACGATTATGGAAAGCACCTTTTTTATTACGTGGAAAGCACATAAGCACAAGGGCTTTGAAAATCACTTGCAGTCTGATGTTTCTCTAGCAGGGAGCGCTATTAGCATGCAAGTCGCCATAAATCTGCACCAGAAGGTGCTCCTGAATACACGTATTTGCAGTAATGTGTATTATAATGGCAGATGAAGTAGTTTTCAAAAGATGTTGTGTTACTACTGTAGTATTTGGTATGTGGTGTGATCAAAGATGTTCATTAAAACAGTTAATGTTTAAAAAAGCATATACACTAAAAACAGAATAGAAAGTGGTTCAAAGCTGCAGCAGACCATGTATGTTCATGCTAATTATCTGTGGTGCAGCATTACATGCTTAGCCTCACTGGTATGAAAGGACTCACAATTTAATTGTTTTCATGTTTTTCGCTCATTCATTTTCTCTCACTACAACACCCAGCATCACACCAATATCATCACACAATCACTGGGAATCTCTGTGGTGTCAACCAATCATGACTGCTATCCACTGATCTATAAATAGTATTTCGCTGATGTCACAATCGCGCTGCCACCGTTTTGATAGGTTTGGTTGCCTTGGCAGGCAGGTTCATTCAGCAGTGCTGTGGTGGTTCGTAATGACATAAAGCCATAACCGATCCATTCGTTGCTGTAGTCATTAACAAATGAGTGCTGAAATCTAAATGGCTGAGATTTCCCATTGCGTTTTTAGTGCTCTGTCCCAAACTGCATACTAGCACACTAAATAATATGCAAAAATAGCACATTTACCATTAGGAGTGTACTTATTACTGCAGAAGGTAAAGTGCAGAAGTGTGTGGTTTGGGACGCGACATTAGATCGGCCAGTGAGACGAGTTCAACAGCTGCTTCGCTGTGCATGTTAGTTGCTTATTAAACATTTCCAAGCAAAAAATTTAAGGATGCATTTACTGGGTAAATTAATTCATTTATTGAGGAAAACTGACGCATTTATTGAGGTGAGCTGATATTGGCTTCGTATTCGCCAACTTTCATAATTCGTTCTACATTTAAGGCACCTGTACCTGCTGCACCACTTAAGGTGGCACGTAAAATTCAAATCAGAAGCTGGCAAATAAAAAGCAAACGTCAGGTTTATATATGTGAATGAGTCTACTATTTAAAAGCTTGGGCAGCCACTTAGTGAGTAAAATCTCACAGATTGCTATTTTATGAGATGTGCAGGTTATACGGATCCTTTCCACCAATCTTGTTTCTATGTAGCATTTTCTAGAGACTGCATCTAAAGTGTCCACATATATTATGTTTTCTGTGGTCATTCTGATCTATTTCTATTTTGCTTTTGGTCTTTAGCCACGTGTAAGTTTGTAACTGCAGTAATGGTGATGAGACAAGTCTTGCCTACCGAAATGGCAACGAGGCCTTCTTGAAGATGCAATCGAATACCAGGAATCAGCTAATGTATACAACAAAGCCAGCTGTAGTGCATCTCTTACTTCAGAATTCTTTAGAAAAGTGTAAAGAAAAATGAAATTATAACTTTATTTGGGAGAAAATGGACACCAGAGACATTTTACCCATTTAGCCAGAAAAAAGGTGCCGAACTGAGGTAAGATATTTAGAGTCTGCTACATTGCTAAATTTAGCTTTTAACCTCTTGTCCTCCTCGTCTGATGAGTCATTTCTGTCATTCGAGTAATCCATTCTCACCATTGTAACAATGATTTAAAGAGCTACTACAATTATGCAGCTGCAATAAGATATTCGCCTGCCTTCCCCATCCGGCCCCCAAAATCCATCCCTGCAGTTGTAGTTTTTAAAAAATTCCTCCCACCTTCAAGATCATCAGAAGAGGTGTTTTCTAGTCTTTGAACCAGAAAATCTGACTCTACAGAGCACTGCAGCACTGCCGCAGGATGTGAGCAGTGTTACATTTTTCATTTTGGCCAGAGTGCCTCTTTAAAGGCGCACAAACAGTCTCTTTAATTTAAAAGAACAAAGAGAGACCACAAATTTGGTATGTGAAATGACTTTTATTATGAGTCTTTAAAGAAGTAAAGCTGGCTGACTTATGGAGCCCACCGCAGAGTGTATGTTCCATATTTCATTTCCTATCAGCAAAGTGCGTTTTCGCCGTTTGTGGTAAATGTGGCCGGTCAGACTCAGCTCCGCTGTTAAACTGCAGCCGACTCAGACGGCCGGGCGGAGCTGGAGTGGGCTGGAGACGGGCTGATGGGAAATGTATGTGATGATACCTCCTGCTATGGAGGCCCTAAGTGTGAAACATCTGCTCACAGCACCCGTGTTAATGATCGAGAGGAGCGCGTGTTGGTGCGTGTATATATGTGAGACAGAACAGATCGTCACTCTTGCGCTCCTCATCTTATCGGAGCAGATACAGCTGTGTGCACACGCACATCGTACATGCAGCGCTGAGTAGACGCAGCTGGTAGCGATATGCAGCTCTAGGCTGCCAGCTAAAGCTAATCTCATTCTGCTCTCCACAGGACGAGCTGATTACGGAGCAGCAGCGGCTCTGTGAGGGGGCGCCGCTCCGACGGGCCTCAAATCAACAAAAATCTGCTTCTTAACACCAACACTCTTCTTAATACAGAAAAATAGCCTGTGAGATTTGCTTTGAGTGCCTGGGTATGTTCAGAGAAGAAGACTTCCTGCAAATTAGCTTTCTAATTAGCACTACCTAGCAGTGAGCTGAAATTCGTCCTCAGGTATGACTACCAGTAATCCGCAAATAAGTACAGATAATGCAGCGTACAAGCAGTGCAAACTGCAGTAATGTTAGTCCATTTGGCTGAATCAGGGATGTTTCAGTCATGTTTTAAATAAAAACAAAAATGTCGCAGACCCTCAATCACCACCCGCTGTCTAGTCCGTTGCCTCTGAAGTAGTCCAATTTGTTTTTGAGACAATGGACATCAAGGAATGGCCAGTCGTTTGGGGATAGCCTTAGCATGGAAGCCACCAGAGCCTAACTCAGTCAGCCGCTCCAGACAACACCACAGACCAGGGCCATGAAACAAGCCATGGACCAGCTTGTACTGAAGCATTAATTGAGTGCAACATTTTCCAAATTCTAGCAGTGTCTGATGGTTGACCTTGGCATTTTATCCAAATTTCTTGTTCCACCCTAAGTGGTGCAGCAGTTACATTCAGGCACCTGGCCAACTGCAAGAACGTAATTGCGGCTCCACTTAAGGTAGAATAGAACATTCAAACAAAAAGCTGACGAATAAGAAGCCAACATAAGCCTTGTAGAAATTCAGATGTGAAACAACTTTTAGCTCCGTTTCTGCTGGGCCCGGGGGCTCTCTGAACCTTTTCAGGAACTTTTAAGTTTAAAGAAGGTCCACATCATGCTAATGTTCTGTACCAATTAAAGGCGTCTCCAAGAACTATACAAGAACTATATAAGCCAAGAACTGTTAGAAATTTATTTTTAAGAGTCTAGCTAGAGTTCGGCTAGGTGCAAAACTTGCTTTAAGATTCAAGGAATTGCGTGAGGTCTTGTAGAATTAAAAAGAATTAATCCATTTTAATTACATTTTCAGCTACATACAAAAAGGCAGTTAAGCTCCTCTCCAAACAAATATCCCTTAGATCAGGAGATCGCAACATGTGGCTCTTTTACTGCCCGGTTTCGGCTCTACAGCAGAATTAGATTTTTAGGTAAAAATAATCCTCCTTTGCAGTAAAATAAAGTTCTGCTAATCATTCTAACACACAGTTCTAAGCCAGTTCTAAGTTGAAATACAAAGGCTAATTCATCCTTTAACCCTGTAGATCAGCGCATAGACTTCTGGTCACTTAGCAACACAAACAACAGTCTCACCTAGCTATTAGCTAATGAAAGGGAAAAGAAGAGAAAGATTTAAAACAAACATTTATAATTTTGAGACATTTGGATTTTTTTGTGTTTATAAGCTGTTTTCCTGATATATTTAATCTGCAATGAGAAACTGTCAAACACTAAAAAGTCAAGTCACCTTCTCGTTTGCCAGCTTCTTGTTCAAATTTTCCCAATCCACCTTAAATGGTGCAGCAGTTACATTCTGGCACCTCAGGCACCATTTAAGGTAGAACAGGAACTAGAGAATGAGAAGCGACTTCAGCCTCATAAAAGGTGAATGTTGAGAGACATTTTACAAGAAACTGTTCCACTTTTGCGGAAAAGTTTCCTGCTGGAGATGCGAGAAAAGCGGCCATAGCTGAGCTAAAGCTTAAAGCAGAGTGAAGTAAGTCTGAATTTTCGTTTAGATTTTTTAGCTTATAATAATAAGTTAGTACATACTGAGATATATTTACAGCCAAAATGTAAGTTAGTATAGCAAGGGTCGCCAAGGTCAAGAATTAGTCTTAAGATACAAGGAACTGACCAAGATCTTCTGAAATTCACTCCTTGACAACTCTAACTTCAGTCATCAAACAAAATTGTAACTAAAACACCAATTCTATCTTTATTTAGCAAAAAAAATGAACGCCAGAGACTTTTTTACCCTTTCGGCCAGAGAAAAGAAGCTAAGTTTCTAGACAGCTAGCTTATTGCTAAATCTAGCTTTTAGCTTGTTGTCCTCCTCACTGTAATGATAATTTAAAGTTAAATGAGAGTTATTTTATGTATTTAGATTTATCATCAGAAGGGGGGGGGGTCTAATTCCACTCTACAGACTACTAGTGCACCGCTGTAAGATGTGAGAGGGTATGTTTACAACAGATGTAGCGGCAAATACGATTTTAAAAGTGTCCATTTCAAGGCACAGTTACACAAACATCCTGTTTAACCTGTAAGAATAACAAGAGGTCACAAAATTATTATGTTAAAACAAACATCTCTTAGATTGCCATCAGATGAAATTAGTGTAGCTAAGTGCAGCAAGGCCAAGGACTAGCCTTGAGAGAACACATTAACCAATCTTAAAGATAAAAATTCAGTCTTTGACATTTTTGATTGTGTTTACAGCTACTTACCTAGTGGCACCAAAACTGCCCTCCAAACAAAGATCTCATAGACTCACAGACAGCCGACAGATACAGCTGGCAATCCTACTATTGGTAGTTCTATTTGAGAAAAGTGCCGTCTGAGAAGTGAGACTGTAGCGGCATCTGCTTTTAGAAAATGAATTTCTGTTCCCTGATATCAAGAAACAAAAAGGCAACTCTTCACTACAGAACTTTCTGTGCGGCAGCCCTAAGTGTTTAGAATGCCATCTCTCAGTGTCTTTTTCACTGATTTTCTTTCACCCTTTAAGATCTTACAAGCTCACATTTTCTCATCACACTTTCACCTTTCTTCTTCCTAGCCTTCTCCTCCCAAATGTAAAGCAACTTTAAGTGTGAGGGAGGTGCAATATAAACAAAAGGAATCATTAACATTATAATTAATACTCTGTAATAACTGTGAAGTTCTTCTCTTTGAGATATTTGACCATGTACGGCTGTAACCATCCGCCCAGGGAGGTTAAGGAGCAGATGTACTAAACCTTTTGTGCTGGTTTCAGGTGCAAATAGGACGCATTGTTCCTGTGTGTTATATAACAGACATGAGTTATAAACTGAGTTATAAACTGGGATGAGTCTAAATGTGCAGTACATGCCCCATAACCATGAAATCCATTATTTACTTTATACTAATGCATTTGAGTGGAGCTATTAGAAGAGTGGCTAACTATATCTTCCATTTGATTTGCTTAAGGTTGGACAACTAGCAGCCAGCTTTGCATGGACATGGACAACAGCATAAAACAGAAGTAGAAGTACAAGGTATGTGTTTCTAATAAAGTGGCCACCGAGTGGAAGTACAAGGTAGGTGTTCCTAATAAAGTGGCTATCACCATGCTTGTTGTCAAAAACGTTTTACTCTGGACTGCCCTCTAGTGGATGTACTGCTTAACATCCATGCTAACATAAAAGACGCATGGAAGCATGTGGGCAGCGACGGTTAAGCTTTATGAACTCATACTGAGGCCACATCAGGTCACATCTGCACTGTGCTTAAGTTTGTATGTACATCTGGCCCATAGTTCTACAAGGAGACTTTTGCTGCCAAAAGTATCAAAAACATTAGATCAAAGAAGCAAGGAGCACCTTGGTGAGATCACAGATTTGAAGCAAGTCGTTTTGGGCTCCACCCCTGTGCACTCGTTCACGCTCACGAGCGACATCTTCATCCTCCTCCACCGACGCTACCGGCAACCCTGTCACCAACCTGCATCAGGACGAGAAGTATTAGTGGTACCTTTGATTTATTACTAACCCGCACCTTTTAAAGTTAACTTGCTGGTGTACAGTTTGAGACTCTAGCCCATATGTTGATGCACAGTTTGTGTTTCCTCTCATTCTCTAACTCTTCATGAATGGTCAGTATCTGACCAGATTTGCTCTTTTCTGGATATTTTTTCAAACCTAGAAGTGACCCTGATGTGTAAAACTCCGGCAAAACCGCTGTGTCTGATACTGCTGTGTCACTGCTGTGTTAAGAATGATCCAGCACCTAAGTAATATCTAGTCAACGGTGGCCCTGTGTCCAGAAACTGATCAGTGTGAATGTGGCAGAAGAGGGCTGATAAAATGTGTGGCAACAGACGGGCTACAATCTGTTATTGTACAACAATATACTGGGCCTATAATACATATATACTGGGCCTGCAGGTAGGTGTTTCTGATAAAGTGGCCAGTAAATGGAAGTACAAGGTAGGCGTTTCCAGTAAAATGGCCAGTAAATGGAATCACCAGGTAGGTGTTTCTAATAACGTGGTCAGTAAATGGAAGCACCAGGTAGGTGTTTCCAGTAAAGTGGCTAGTAAATGGAAGTACCAAGTAGGTGTTTCTGGTAAAGTGGCCAGCAAGTGGAAGAAGCACGTAGGTGTTCCTGATAAAGTGGCCAGTAAATAGAAGCTCTGGGTAGGCGTTTCTGACAAAGTGGCCAGTAAGCGGAAGCAGAATGTCGGCGTTCCTGATAAAGTGGCCAGTGAGTGGATGTGCAAGGTAGGTGTTCCTGATAAAACAGCCAGTAAATGTAAGCACCAGGTAGGTGTTTCTGATGTAGTGGCCAGTTAATGGAAATACAAAGTAGGTGTTTCTGATAAAGTGGCCAGTAAGTGGAAGTACAAGGTAGGTGTTTCTAATAAAGTAACCAGTAAGTGGAAGTACAAGGCAGGTGTTTCTGATAAAGTGGCCAGTGAATATTCTAAGGCTATTTCCTGTCAAACTGAATTTGTGTTATATTTAACACAAGGTTGATGGTATTTGATTTTAAACTCACCTGGGCTTCCAGCAGAACTTGTACTGGATGAGGAGCGTAAACCCAAACATCACTACACCCTCTATAGCCATGGCAAACAGATTCTTCCCCACCATATCCCAGCCCAGCGGCTCCTCAAATCTATCCTCGCCTGAGGGAGAGTAAAGAGACAGAAAGAAAGAGAGAGCAACTAAATCTAAGCAGTAATCGTTATTTGGATGCTGTTACATTCAGTTGCATAAGATCTCTTTAGTCATTCCTAATGCACCACCATGAATTGGCTTCTGTTATTCACTAATTCTAACAATGCCCTTACATCTCAGCCTTGTCTCCATTCTCCCTCTCCACTCCTTCTCTCTATTGACTATTGATTTGTTCTCTGTTCTGTTTTCTCTCCGCTCTGTTTCTCTTTCTCTCTTTGTCCAGACCAAAATTTACTATCATAGATAGCGATAGTACCTCTAATTATGATGCCATTAAGGCTAGGCCATATGGCAACAAATTGTATCACAATATATTTGTCATTATTTAACATTAAAAATTATATCTTATAAATGATATAATCCTAGATTTATGACATGTATGAATGTATTTATAGCTTTATTTTTATACAGCATTGATATGAAACAATACATATATAACTAACACATATATATATATAAAATATATTAAATATATGAGAATAGATATGAAAAAAAACTTCTATAAATTTTATATAATCTATGAAAGAATATGCATTTAGGTAACATTCCTAACTATCCCACTGGTTCGTGATGTTATTAGTGAATAGCTAGACTTCTTCCCTGTACAATGTACGGTACCACCTACTGTGCTGAAGTAGCTCTTAAACTTTTGAGCTGTTCCTGCTAATAATGGACTGGGGTTAAAAAATGACGGGCATCAAACAGATGTTTGGAAGTGACCGATATTTCAAACCGGTATTTGAATACGTATTTGCTGTACTTCAGAAGAGCAGAAAGTTTAGGAGACTCTGGCTTACTGTGCCAAAATATTTATATTTGATTCATTGTAATGCAGTAGTAACCATACAGAAATGTTATATGCCTCTGTAATGCTCTGGTGCCAATTTCTATATATAATAAATACTACGAAGTTGGTTTAATTGTTTGGGGATGAAGGGCACTGCATGAAAGTTTTGTGGTTAAATGAAATAATAACAAACAAATTGACTTGACATGTAAAATGCAGAATGACCAGGTATACTGACATGTCAACAAACGCTCACATAATTTGAATTTTTCTTTATAGCTCCACCGACGCAACATTCTCTGATAAACAGAAAAATAATCCTTAGGCCATTTGCCAACACACACATTGTTTATTCCCACAGTAAAGCTGCTCATTTTGTTTCAGCTGATCTACTGACATTCACATTAAGCTCAAATGTAATAAATCTAAAATACCTGTATCACTATCAGCAGATATGACGATGGAAAAAGTCATTCAACATTTTTTTCTTACGCCTGTAATCCTTAGCCTGTGTCATAGAGCCACTGCAAACCTGCCACTGCTCATTTATCTTCTCCCTCGTTCTTTAAACCGCTCTTCCACCCCTCCGTCTCTCCACGGATGAGCGTCAGACTTCCTTTCATCTGCTGCCTTTCTTCCCAATCACTCCATCCTCTCCCTCTCATCCTTTCTCAAACACTTATGGCTAAATATATCCGAGGCGCTGGAAGCTTAGCGCTCTCAAAGGCCTGCGTGTTTGTGTTTGTTATCTCACCCATGCTGCTGAAGAGTGTAGCCATGGCCTGGTTTTTAGCCATGTCGATGAGTCCTCGGCCCAGACAGAAGTGAGGAAATATCAGTAGCACCTGTTTCACTATGTCGTTGATACGAGTGATGTTCTTGAGAGAGTGAGAGAGAGACACAGACATACAGAAAGAGAGAGAGATTCATATACGTTCATACAATACTGTGTAAAAGTTAGAACCCACCTTTCATCCATTTAATTTCCAGTCAAAATGGACATTAAATACCAAGCTATCTATTTTTAGTTATTTCTGAGGAGATCAGATATAAGATAATCCACTTGTCAAAGCAAACCAACCCCATAAAAAAGCCAGGGCCAACTGGCAGGCCCAAAGTTTTATTACACACTTCTATAACCTATGAACAGCTCAGCCAGTTTGCACTGAAGTCCCTGCAGTTACTGCATAATAAGCCTCAGTATGTAACAAGGCTGGGATTTTAAGGGGTTAAATGAAAAGTAATTTCAGTATTGAGTATGTCCACCACTTTGCCTTATTACAGCATCCTTTCAGACCCATAACATTGAGCTGTCTTCTCACAGTAGAAGGAAGGAACAGATGGGGACAGTTTTGGTGGTCCACCAAATCCTGCATGGTTGTTAGAAGATTTTAAATGAATAACTTGACATAATGGAGACAGTGAAAGAAAAAGAGAGAGTGATCGACATAGAAGACAAGGTGAGAAAATCGCACATCATATGGTATGGCTTTGTAAGAGCAAGCATGTGTGCATGTGTGTGGCAGAAAAGAGGCAACTGTGTGTCTATTAATAATAAAGCAACACACACATGACTACATCTGCACAGTGTTAGTGTCACAGTGTTACAGCACTCTGCCATCTGACATCTGTGTCACTATATAACACACACACACACACACACACACAGCAACTTTAATTCATTACACAAATTCAGAGAGAGTGACAGCCTATCTATTAAATTGACCATAATTTTCTTTAACTCTAAATCTGGCTATAACCCTAACCTTAACCTCAACCCAACCCTCACCCTGGTCCAGTTTAGAAGTGTCAACAGATAGTTTCTTACCAATTAGCACACCTGTAGACAATCTAAAGGGGGCTATAGTGGACTATCCAAATAAACCAAGTCCAAAACTCTTAACTTTATATGTAAACTTTATATTCAAAGTAATTTTGGACAATTTCTGTTGGTCTATTTGTCCTGAAATGTTCACACATCATAAAGAGCAGCTATAATCTATTTTCAAATCAAGCCATAAACTGAAATATGACAAAAAAGTGGATATACAGGGAGATACAGCGACACTATGTACAGTCCCCTTCAAAATTATAAGCAGCCCTGGTAAAGTTGAGTAAAAAGGGTTATAGCTTACTATAAAAAAGCAACAGTCCAACTTAAAACTGAAGTAAAATTATATTGAGAAAAAAAAATCATGAAATATATTTTTTTATTAAAATCACAATTATTTGCACTGTAGGAGTCGCACTTCGTAGGTGTCTTATCAGGTTTAGGAAGGCTGTACGGAAAGGATCCCTTTTCAAAGGATTCATTATACCTGTCTAACAGTGGGGTAGTAATTTTGTCTTTAAAATGTTTGTAAATATCGATAAGTATACTATCCGGGCCAGCTGCTCTTCCTCCTTTTCATTTATTAATAGCGTTTAAGATTTCTTTTTTAGTTATTGACAAATCTAGCTTTTCTTTAACTTCTTCAGACAGTACCGGAATTTGGAGATTATCTAAGAATGTAGATTGTTCTATTGAGTATTCAGGTGTTTCAGATTTATAGAGGGATTGATAGAACGATGCAAATGTGGTATTTATAGGTTTAGGGTCTGTAGATATATTTCCTGATGGAGTTCATAAAAATTTTGTTTTAAACGTATAAGGCTGTTTTCTGCCTGTGCAAGAGAGAGCTTGTTATATTGTGTTCTAAGAGAGGTAAGTTCTTTTTGTAGATACTGTGAGCCTACTGTGTTTGTATAAACTTCAGATTCTTTATTTTTAATATCTTTTTCTACAGACTGCATTGCCAATTTGAACTTCTTGGTTTGTGAACTAGTATAGCTAATCATTTGGCCTCTTATATAACATTTAAATGCCTCCCATCGAGTGGAAGCTGAAGTTTCGTTTTGGTTAGTTTCAAAATATAAATCACTGTGAGTCTCTATATACTTCATGAAGTCAGGATCAAGAGCCATTTGGGGTGCAGTTTCATGATGTGGCAAACACCTGACCAGGCCACCTCCTTCTTACTTTGAGCATATCCCCTGCTATCAAATGAGACTCTTGCAAAAATACTATTGAGGTATTACTATTTTTAATATGTGTGATTACCTGTTTTAATTTAGTAAGTCTAATCCCCTGACATTCCATGATAGACTTTGTAGCTTTATGTCAGATAACTAGTTATTTAAAGCCTTTGCATCTGTGTTAACCTATATAAATGAACAAAACAAATAAGTTAAAATTAATGTTAAAATAAGTGAATAAAAATCAAATTTGTAGGTCAATGTGTACATTTTAAATAGGGTTAGCTGAGATGACGCTAGAACACTTCTACTCTGAGCAGAACAGCAAACTACCCCCCTCCCTTCAATAGTTAACAAGTGAACAACAGGCATTACTGATCCTATTATAAGGAGCAGTCACACAACGGCTACATGATAAACTGGTCATAGGTCAACAAGTAGCTCCATCACCTAGTTTTGTGACATATAACTTAAACTCTTACTATTTGGTCCATCACAAGTTAAAGCAAAATTTGTCCTTTCTTCCTCATCAGACTGACCCAAAATATATATATATATATATATATATATATATATATATATATATATATATATATATATAGAAGAAGAAGAAAAAAAGGAAGAAAAAAAATACATATATATAAAGGGAAAGAAAAAGTAAAGGGTCACCCAAAGGTCATGAGGAGACTTCTTTATTCACCGCTCATCAAAGTTTCTTGGTTATTTGTCGTGATCTTTAGACCGCAAAAAAGAGTCGACTTCAGCTGGGATCCCTGTACTGGATCGCTAACTCTCTCAGAAGTTTCTTAACACCGTCAAAACTTTTCCTTTGCCGTCTCACTTCAGCCGAAAAATCAGGGAAGAACATCACTTGCTGATCATTGTATGTGACTTTTCCTTTAGCCCTGGCTGCTTGAGGTACTCTATCATGAAAGTTGAGGAACTTCATTACCAGAATTCTCGGGTAGTTCGTCCTTGATCCGGGGAGTCGATGAGCTCGTTCAGTGATGACTGGCGTGGGGAATGTGGATTGACCCAAAATCTCCGGCAGCAATTTCTCGAGGAAAGAGACCGGGTCATTCCCCTCCGCCTTCTCAGGTAGGTTGACGAGACGTACGTTGCATCTTCTATTCCTATTCTGGAGACCATCAAGCACGGAGATGAGCGTTTCCACTTTCTTCTCGATGCTTCTTAGAGTTGTTTGCAGCTTGTCAACGTTGTCCTCTGTGTCGCCGATTCGTTGCTCTGCCTGGTATATTCTGCCTGAGAATTCATTAATGTCCGTCTTTAAATCTTGCACGGCACACAGCACTCCTTCAAATTCAGAGCTGAATTCTCTCCTCATGTCCTTTATTGCGCTCAACAGCTCGCTTTCCCCTCGAACTGATGTCGTTTCGTCCTTCTCAGTTTCATCGGTGGTGGTCGTTCCTTCACTATTGTTTTCTAGCATATCTTCCAAGTTGTCCGTTCTTTTTTGTTGTTCTTGGCATTTTGTCGTTTAGATATGTTTATCCTGTGATGGCGTAGTGAACAAAGTTATCCTACAAGGTGCTCAGAAAGTTAATTTTCTGCCGTATGTTGGGAGCGCGAGACCCACACGTCCGCTCAACTCACCGCCATCTTGTTAAGTTCCTGTAACATCTTATAAGGTTGGAGAATAGAGCGCAGGGAATTTGAGGCCCTTTCTCTTTACGGAATCTCTCCAGATCATCTAGGGTCGTAGGTCTTATCTCGTGCACTCTCTTCTTTAGCTCACCCCACAGGTTTTCTATGGGACTGAGATCAGGGGACTGAGATGGCCATGGCAGAGGCTTTATTTTGTGTTGATCTGGACACGTTTTGGATCACTGTGCTCCCGAAAGATCTGATGATGACCCATTTGTAGTTTCTTGGCAGAGGCAGACAGATTTTGATTTAAAATGTCCTGGTATTTCATGATGCCATATGCCCAGGTTCCCAGGGCCTTTGGAGGACAAACAGCCCCACATCACAGACCGCCCACTATACTTCACAGTGGGCATTAGATTCTTTTCAGTGCAGTCGTCCTTCTTTTTACACCAAACCCACCTTGAGACAAAATGTTCAGTTTTCGTTTCATCTGACCATAGAACACGGTTCCAGTAAAAGTCCCAGTGGCGTTCAGGAAACTCCAGATGCTTACGTTTGTAGTTGGATGACAGGAAAGGCTGTTTCCTGGCATGCCTTACAAATAATCTGTTGGCATGGAGGTTGTGTCTGATGGTAGTGTGGAAGACTTGGTGGCACCAGGATGCTACTTTTTTCTGTAACTCTCCAACAGTGAACCCTGGGGATGTTTTTTTTTTGCCATCTTACCATCCTCCTCAGTGTGTGGGGGCAAAATAAACTTGGCAAGTTTGCCACAGTTCCAGTTGACTGGAACTTTTTAATTATTGCCCAAACTCTAGCATGGGCATTTTCAGGAGAGTAACTATTTTTTATAGACACTCTGATCAACTTAAAAAAGTAAATAAAAATGGATATATAGGTGGTGCTTGGTTGTGGTCTGGCATATGTTCTGACCCCAAGACCTAACTAATGTCTTCAATTCCCCATCTGTGATCCTTAGAGATTCTTTGTCCACTCAAACCTTCTTCACAGTGCAAGGGGTCAGTACAGATATATACCCTCTTCCTGGCAGATTCTTAGCATCTCTAGTTGTTTTAAACTTCTTAGTTATTGACCTGACAGTGGAAATGGCCATTTCTAACTGTTCAGCTGTTTTCATGTAGCTGTTTCCTGATTTGTGCAGCTCAACAACCTTTTGTCACACATCATTGCTGCTTTCTCTGGTCTTTCTCATACCGATGGACGACTCAAGGAATTAGGCCTGTGTTTCATCTCC